GTCAGCTTTTAGTTCTTTCGGTAAAGTCACGTAGGTAAAAAAATGTAATAAAAATTAATTAAAAAAAATAATAAAAATCACGACGTTTCGCAGGCAACACAAGTCGCCGTCATCAGGTGGGACCGTGACAGCCAGATTTGCTGCATCAAAGCCACGAAAGCTTCAAATCTAGAATGTTCGTCAGCAACACTGCGGCCTTGGCAGACAGCGCTTTCGTAAAACAACGTTTCGGGCGATGCCCCCACCGGCATGGCACGTGCACTGCAGAGCCACAGCGGTTTCAAATTGTTCGTGGACAAGCGACTCAAACTTTGGAGCCGCACAGAGACGCATGGAGACTCATGGAAATTGCCGAGCATAGAGACCCACAGAGACCCACAGAGACTCATGGAAATGTCCGAGCATAGAGACCCACAGAGACCCACAGAGACTCATGGAGATTGCCTTGCATAGAGACCCACAGAGACCCACAGAGACTCATGGAAATGTCCGAGCATAGAGACCCACAGAGACTCATAGAGATTGCCTTGCATAGAGACCCACAGAGACCCACAGAGACTCATGGAAATGTCCGAGAATAGAGACCCACAGAGACCCACAGAGACGCATGGAGATTGCCTTGCATAGAGACCCACAGAGACACACAGAGACTCATGGAGATTGCTGCATAGAGACCCACAGAGACCCACAGAGACTCATGGAGATTGCTGCATAGAGACCCACAGAGACCCACAGAGACTCATGGAGATTGCTGCATAGAGACCCACAGAGACCCACAGAGACTCATGGAGATTGCCTTGCATAGAGACCCACAGAGACCCACAGAGACTCATGGAAATGTCAGAGCATAGAGACCCACAGAGACCCACAGAGACGCATGGAGATTGCTGCATAGAGACCCACAGAGACTCATGGAGATGTCTGTGCACAGAGACCCACAGAAACCCACAGAGACTCATGGAGATTGCTGCATAGAGACCCACAGAGACCCACAGAGACTCATGGAGATTGCTGCACAGAGACCCACAGAGACCCACAGAGACTCATGGAGATTGCTGCATAGAGACCCACAGAGACTCATGGAGATGTCTGTGCATAGAGACCCACAGAGACCCACAGAGACTCATGGAGATTGCTGCACAAAGATCCACAGAGACCCACAGAGACTCATGGAGATTGCTGCATAGAGACTCACAGAGACCCACAGAGATTCATAGAGACTGCCTTGCATAGAGACCCACAGAGACCCACAGAGACTCATGGAGATTACTGTACATAGAGACCCACAGAGACCCACAGAGACTCATAGAGATTGCCGAGCATAGAGACCCACAGAGACCCACAGAGACTCATGGAGTTTGCCGTGCATAGAGACCCACAGAGACCCACAGAGACTCATGGAGATTACTGTACATAGAGACCCACAGAGACCCACAGAGACTCATAGAGATTGCCGAGCATAGAGACCCACAGAGACCCACAGAGACTCATGGAGATTGCCTTGCATAGAGACCCACAGAGACCCACAGAGACTCATGGAGATTGCCTTGCATAGAGACCCACAGAGACCCACAGAGACTCATGGAAATGTCAGAGCATAGAGACCCACAGAGACCCACAGAGACTCATGGAGTTTGCCTTGCATAGAGACCCACAGAGACCACATGGGGAACTCATAGAAACCCACAGAGACCCACAGAGACTCATAGAGACACCAATAGATGCATAGAGACCTATAAAGAGTGCACAGTGAACTCATAGAGTCACAAAGTGACACACAGAGACTCATAGAGACCCATACAGACGCTGATAGATACGTATATACCCACAGAGAGACACAGAGATGCACAGAGACCCATAGAGACCTGCAAAGTGAACTCACTGTTTGGCTGAGCTCCTTGGACGGAGGAGGAACAGTGACACGACACGAACTCTCTCTCTCTCTGTCTGTCTCTCTCTTTCTCTCTGTCTGTCTCTCTCTCTCTGTCTGTCTCTCTGTGTCTCTCTTTGTCTCTCTCTCTGTCTGTGTCTCTCTTTGATGATACTTTCTCTAGAGCTCTCTCTCTCTCTCTGTGTCTCTCTCTGTCTGTCTCTCTGTCTCTGTCTCTCTCTCTCTGTCTGTCTCTCTGTGTCTCTCTCTCTCTCTGTCTTTCTCTCTGTCTGTCTCTCTGTGTCTCTCTCTGTCTCTCTCTCTTTCTGTTTCTCTCTCTGATGAGACTTTCTCGAGAGCTGTCTCTCTCTGTGTCTCTCTCTGTGTCTCTCTCTGTCTGTCTCTCTGTGTCTCTCTCTGTCTGTGTCTCTCTCTGTCTATTTCTCTCTCTGATGAAACTTTCTCTAGAGCTCTCTCTCTGTCTGTCTCTCTCTCTCTGTCTCTCTCTATTTGTCTCTCTCTCTCTCTGTCTCTCTCTCTCTCTCTGTATCTCTCTGTCTCTCTGTCTCTGTGTATCTCTCTCTGTCTCATCGTGGCAGCAGCATCAGCAGACCTTGACATTGGCATCCTGAACTACCACACATTGCCATCTTGCACAAGAGCAGAATAACACAAACTACCACCACTGCCACCACCACTACCACCATCACAAACACCACGACCTCCACCACCACCACTACGACCATCAAAACCACCACGACCCCCACCATCACGACCCCCACCACCACCATCACGACCACCACCATCACGACCACCACCACCACTACCACCACCATCATCACGACCCCCACCACCACTACCACCACCACCACCACCATCACGACCCCCACCACCACCACCACGACCACAACCACCACTACCACCACCACTACCACTATCACCATCACGACCCCCACCACCACGACCCCCACCACCACCACGACCAAAACCACCACCACCACTACCACCACCACGACCCCCACCATCACGACCACAACCACCACCATCACGACCACCACCACCACGACCACAACCACCACAACCACCACCACCACGACCACCACCACAACCACCACGACCACAATCACCACTACCACCATCACCATCACGATCCCCACCACCACTACCACCACCACTACCACCACTACCACCACCACGACCACCACCCCCAGGCTGCTGCCCCCCCCCGTCCCCACGAGTCGCCCGGTCACGTGGGGACGGGTGTCCCATCACACGGCCACAGCCACTCGGCGTCTCTGTGTGTGTCTGTGTGTCTGTCTGTGTGTGTGTCTGTGTGTGTCTGTGTGTGTCTGTCTGTGTGTGTGTCACTGTGTGTCTGTGTCTGTGTGTGTGTCACTGTGTGTCTGTGTCTGTGTGTGTGTATGTGGTGTGTCTGTGTGTGTCTGTGTGTGACTGTCTGTGAGTGTGTCTGTGTGTGTCTCTGTGTGTGTCTGTGTGTCTGTCTGTGTGTGTGTCTCTGTGTGTGTGTCTGTGTATGTGTCACTGTGTGTCTGTGTCTGTGTGTGTGTATGTGTGTGTGTCTGTGTGTGTCTCTGTGTGTGTCTGTGTGTCTGTCTGTGTGTGTGTCTCTGTGTGTGTCTGTGTGTGTCTGTGTGTCTCTCTGTGTGTGTGTCTCTGTGTGTGTCTGTGTGTGTCTGTGTGTGCGTCTGTGTGTGCGTCTGTGTGTCTCTCTGTCTGTGTGTCTGTATCTGTGTGTCTCTCTGTGTGTGTCTGTGTGTCTCTGTGTGTGTGTCTGTGTCTGTGTGTCTCTCTGTGTGTCTGTTTGTGTCTGTGTCTCTCTCTGTGTGTGTCTGTGTCTGTGTGTCTCTCTATGGCTGTGTGTGTCTGTATCTGTGTGTGTGTCTCTGTGTTTGTCAGTGTGTGTATCTGTGTGTGTCTCTCTGTGTGTGTCTGTGTGTGTGTCTCTCTGTGTGTATCTGTGTGTGTCTGTGTGTCTCTCTGTGTGTGTCTGTGTCTCTGTGTGTGTGCGTCTGTGTGTCTCTGTGTGTGTGTGTCTCTCTCTGTGTGTTTGTGTGTCTGTGTGTGTCTCTCTCTGTGTGTCTCTCTGTGTGTGTCTCTCCGTCTGTCTGTGTGTCTCTCTGTGTGTCTCTCTGTCTGTCTGTGTGTCTCTCTGTGTGTGTCTCTCTGTCTGTGTCTGTGTGTCTCTATGTCTATCTCTATGTTTGTGTGTCTCTCTTTGTGTGTCTCTGTGTGTCTCTGTTTCTGTGTATATGTGTGTCTCTCTTTGTCTCCGTGTGTGTCTCTCTCTGTTAGCGTGTGTGTCTCTGTGTGTCTCTGTCTCTTGTGTATCTGTGTGTGTGTCTCTGTGTGTCTCTGTATCTTGTGTATCTGTGTGTATGTGTCTCTGTTTGTCTCTGTCTCTTGTCTATCTGTGTGTGTGTCTCTGTGTGTCTCTGTGTCGAGCTCAATCAATCTCAATATCTACCTCGGGGTCCATTATTCCCTCTCGCTCCCTCTCTATCCCACTCTCCCTCTATCTCTCTATCTCACTCATTGTCTCTCTGCATCTCACGATTTCTATCCCTGCCTCTCTGTCTCTCTCTCTCCCCCGCCGTGTCCGTCACTCACGCAGCAAAGAATCACCACGAGGAGCTTTGCCCAGGAAGCCACGGGGATGAGTTTACCCCGAGCTGCTTGTCAAGAGCCTGGCCACCTCACCGGTCAACTGGTGGCTAGGACTGGACCGGTAACAGGGCTCGGGCAAGGAACGCCGCTGAATGAGGAAGGGACCACGCTCTTGCGCCGTCGGAGACCTGGGTTGACGTGGTTCCGCACAGATTAGGAACGAGCGAGAGCGAGCGAGAGAGAAGTACCGCTTCTGCTGCGATCGATAAAGCTGCCACCACCACCACCCCCCTCATCCTCCTCTTACTACTCTCCCCCATCGGCCGCGAGCGAGAAATCGATGCGAGAAAATTATCCTAATTAGAACGGCGCGCTGGGGTGAGTGAGTGGAGTGCGAGAGAGTGGGAGAGAGAGATGGAGTGACAGACTTGTTGACTTTTAAACCACTTTTATTGCTGCCACAAGCGACAGAACTGGAGCCGAGTTTGATACGAAACACGAAGTCGCCAGCAACAAATGACCAAAGACAATCAGCAAAAGCCACGTGCTACGGCACGTGGTGCTCAACGCGTCACGTCCAACAACAAAAACGTCACGTGGTGGTGGTGTTGGTCGTGGAGCGCATCAGAAGGTGACAAGGAGGGCGCCGTTCACACTGGTACAGAGAGGGGCTTTTCGGGACACCCAGCATTCGATGAAGAAGACGGCGGGGTGCATCACCGGCGTGTACGTGGTAGGCGGCGTGCTCCAGCCGGAGCCGCGGATTGAGCAGGCCCCTGAACCCTGGAAGCACAGAGACAGAAAATGGGAGTGAGAGAGAGTGATGCTGATATGAGCTACCCGTCAGAGGCCGTCGGACTGCGAGAAGGGCTGCGTGCAGAACGAGAGTGAGCGAGAGAGTGAGCGAGAGAGTGAGCGAGAGAGTGAGCGAGAGAGAGCGAGAGGGTGAGCGAGAGGGCGAGCGAGAGAGCGACCGAGAGAGCGACCGAGAGAGTGAGCGAGAGAGTGAGCGAGAGGGTGAGCGAGAGGGCGAGCGAGAGAGCGACCGAGAGAGTGACCGAGAGAGTGAGCGAGAGAGTGAGCGAGAGAGAGAGCGAGAGAGTGACCGAGAGGGTGAGCGAGAGGGTGAGCGAGAGAGCGAGCGAGAGAGTGAGCGAGAGAGAGAGCGAGAGAGTGACCGAGAGAGTGAGCGAGAGGGTGAGCGAGAGGGTGAGCGAGAGGGCGAGCGAGAGAGTGACCGAGAGAGTGAGCGAGAGAGAGAGCGAGAGAGTGACCGAGAGAGTGAGCGAGAGGGTGAGCGAGAGGGTGAGCGAGAGGGCGAGCGAGAGAGTGACCGAGAGAGTGAGCGAGAGGGTGAGCGAGAGGGTGAGCGAGAGAGTGAGCGAGAGAGTGACCGAGAGAGTGAGCGAGAGAGAGAGCGAGAGAGTGAGCGAGAGAGTGAGCGAGAGAGTGAGCGAGAGGGTGAGCGAGAGGGTGAGCGAGAGGGCGAGCGAGAGAGCGAGCGAGAGAGCGAGCGAGCGAGGGAGCGAGCGAGGGAGCGAGCGAGGGAGCGAGCGAGAGAGGGAGTGAGAGCGAGAGGTGGGGGTTTACATAAAGCAAAGTTACAAATTTTAAATTAAATAAATAACGAAATGATGAACGAAGCAAAGTGCCGAATACACCGAGCATCTTCTTGTTTCCACTGATCGTAAAACAAAAGGAAGCACAGAGAGAGAGAGAGTGGGGGTGTGAGAGTGCAAGAGAGAGTGGAGTGAGTGAGAGAGTGGAGTGAGAGAGAGGGAGACATCTGTGTGGTGTCAAGTGACCCTCTCAGCCCTCGTGTCTCGCGCGCGTGCCCCTCACAAGGATGCTGACGATTGATCAGAGGTCGCAAACGGGTTTTGATTCTTTACCCGTACCCGTACCCGGCCGCACCAAGGTCGCAAACGGGTACCCGTACCCTACCCGATACCCAAGTACCCGTACCCGGCCGGGTAGGGTACGGGTACCCGATTGCGACCTGTGGGATGAAGCCATGTTGCAGGCGCGGGTGTGTTGATTCTAGGAACTTGAATTGTGAGAAGAGACAAGACGTTGGGAAATGAGTGACAAACGGCTACTCACCAGTGACTCACGGCCTACCTGTACCCGTACCCGGCCGCACCAGGGTCGCAAACGGGTACCCGTACCCGGCCGGGTGCAGGTACCCGGGTATCTGGTAGGGTACGGGTATCGGGTACCCGGTTGCGACCTCTGCTGACGATGCCTTTACATATGAATGTAATTCATTATTGTTGTTGTTGGGTCACAGCCCCAGAGTTACCACAGCAGCAGCAGCAGCGGCAGAAGCAGACCTCGGTTTTGGCATCGAGCGTCCTGAACAACAATAACAAGCACAATAACAACAACAATCACAGAAACAACAACCACAACAACAACCACAAAAAACAAACAACGTCAACAACTACAACATCCACAACAACACCCACAACAACCATACCCACAACAACAACAACAACCACAACCACAAGAACCACAACAACACCCACAACAACAAACACAACAACCACAACAACCACTAAAACAACCAAACATCAACGTCAACAACTACAACATCCACAACAACACCCACAACAACCATACCCACAACAACAACCACAACTACAACAACCACAAGAACCACAACAACACCCACAATAACAACAACCACAACAACCACAGAAACAACAACCACAACAACCACAAAAAACAAGCAAACAACGTCAACAACTACAACATCCACAACAACACCCACAACAACCATACCCACAACAACAACATTGTTTAAAAAAGGGCCTTTTTGCACACTATCAAAGCATCAGTTTTTTTTTTCTTTGTATCGGGGAAAAGGTGCTCGCTATCAGCACTTGCCCCAACAGCCTTTAAGGCTACACGGGGGATCTTTGTCTTTGGGGAAGAGGTCTAAGAAGTAATCGGAAGTGCCACCCCCCCACCCCCCTCCACCCAGCCCCCCCCCTCCACCCAGCCCCCCCCCCCCCCCCAAGTTCAAACACTCGAGATACTGCCCTGATGTAACGTTGAGTCCTCTTGAGTTCACTTGCTTGGCAATCAACAGCAGCGAGGGATCTTTCAACCCTCTCCTACTACTCGCCCGGCCGACTGTGTGTCCGTCTGTGTGTCCGTCTGTGTGTTTGTCTGTCTGTCCGTCTGTGTGTTTGTCTGTTAGTCCGTCTGTGTGTTCATCTGTGTGCACGTCTGTGTGTTCGTCTGTGTGTTTGTTTGTTAGTCCGTCTGTGTGTTCATCTGTCAGTCCGTCTGTGTGTTCGTCTGTTAGTCCGTCTGTGTGTTCATCTGTCAGTCCGTCTGTGTGTTCGTCTGTCAGTCCATCTGTGTGTATGTCTGTGTGTCCGTCTGTGTGTCCGTCTGTGTGTTCGTCTGTGTGTTCGTCTGTTAGTCTGTCTGTGTGTACGTCTGTGTGTTTGTCTGTGTGTTTGTCTGTGTGTTCGTCTGTGTGTTCATCTGTCAGTCCGTCTGTGTGTTCGTCTGTTAGTCCGTCTGTGTGTTCATCTGTCAGTCCGTCTGTGTGTTCGTCTGTGTGTCCGTCTGTGTTTGTCTGTGTGTACGTCTGTTAGTCTGTCTGTGTGTTCTTCTGTTAGTCCGTCTGTGTGTACGTCTGTGTGTCCGTCTGTGTGTCCATCTGTGTGTTCATCGGTGTGTTCGTGTGTTAGTCCGTCTGTGTGTTCGTCTGTGTGTTTGTCTGTTAGTCCGTCTGTGTGTCCGTCTGTGTGTTGGTCTGTTAGTCCGTCTGTGTGTACGTCTGTCAGTCCGTCTGTGTGTTCGTCTGTGTGTTCGTCTGTCAGTCCGTCTGTGTGTTCGTCTGTGTGTCCGTCTGTGTGTTCATCTGTTAGTCCGTCTGTGTGTTCGTCTGTGTGTCCGTCTGTGTGTCCGTCTGTGTGTTCGTCTGTGTGTCCGTCTGTTAGTCCGTCTGTGTGTCCGTCTGTGTGTCCGTCTGTGTGTTCGTCTGTCAGTCCGTCTGTGTGTCCGTCTGTGTGTTCGTCTGTGTGTCCGTCTGTTAGTCTGTCTGTGTGTTCTTCTGTTAGTCCGTCTGTGTGTTCGTCTGTGTGTTTGTTTGTTAGTCCGTCTGTGTGTTCATCTGTCAGTCCGTCTGTGTGTTCGTCTGTCAGTCCGTCTGTGTGTATGTCTGTGTGTCCGTCTGTGTGTCCGTCTGTGTGTTCGTCTGTGTGTTTGTCTGTCAGTCCGTCTGTGTGTCCGTCTGTTAGTCCGTCTGTGTGTCCGTCTGTGTGTCCGTCTGTGTGTTCGTCTGTCAGTCCGTCTGTGTGTACGTCTGTTAGTCCGTCTGTGTGTCCGTCTGTGTGTTCGTCTGTATGTCCGTCTGTTAGTCCGTCTGTGTGTCCGTCTGTGTGTCCGTCTGTGTGTCCGTCTGTCAGTCCGTCTGTGTGTCCGTCTGTGTGTTCGTCTGTGTGTTTGTCTGTTAGTCCGTCTGTGTGTTCGTCTGTGTGTTCGTCTGTTAGTCCGTCTGTGTGTTCGTCTGTGTGTCCGTCTGTGTTTGTGTGTACGTCTGTTAGTCTGTCTGTGTGTTCTTCTGTTAGTCCGTCTGTGTGTACGTCTGTGTGTTCGCCTGTCAGTCCATCTGTGTGTCCGTCTGTTAGTCCGACTGTGTGTATGTCTGTGTGTCCGTCTGTCAGTCCGTCTATGTGTTCATCTGTGTGTACGTCTGTGTGTTCGTCTGTGTGTTTGTCTGTTAGTCCGTCTGTGTGTTCGTCTGTGTGTTCATCTGTCAGTCCGTCTGTGTGTTCGTCTGTCAGTCCGTCTGTGTGTATGTCTGTGTGTCCGTCTGTTAGTCCGTCTGTGTGTTCATCTGTCAGTCCGTCTGTGTGTTCGTCTGTCAGTCCGTCTGTGTGTTCGTCTGTCAGTCCATCTGTCAGTCCGTCTGTGTGTTCATCTGTCAGTCCGACTGTGTGTATGTCTGTCAGTCCGTATGTGTGTTCGTCTGTCAGTCCGTCTGTGTGTATGTCTGTGTGTTCATCTGTCAGTCCGTCTGTGTGTTCGTCTGTCAGTCCGTCTGTGTGTTCGTCTGTCAGTCCGTCTGTGTGTTCGTCTGTCAGTCCATCTGTCAGTCCGTCTGTGTGTTCATCTGTCAGTCCGACTGTGTGTATGTCTGTCAGTCCGTATGTGTGTTCGTCTGTCAGTCCGTCTGTGTGTATGTCTGTGTGTTCATCTGTCAGTCCGTCTGTGTGTTCGTCTGTCAGTCCGTCTGTGTGTTCGTCTGTCAGTCCGTCTGTGTGTATGTCTGTGTGTCCATCTGTGTGTCCATCTGTGTGTCCGTCTGTGTGTTCGTCTGTGTGTTTGTCTGTTAGTCCGTCTGTGTGTTCGTCTGTGTGTTCATCTGTCAGTCCGTCTGTGTGTTCATCTGTCAGTCCGTCTGTGTGTTCATCTGTGTGTACGTCTGTGTGTTCGTCTGTCAGTCCGTCTGTGTGTTCGTCTGTCAGTCCGTCTGTGTGTCCGTCTGTGTGTTCGTCTGTCAGTCCGTCTGTGTGTTCGTCTGTCAGTCCGTCTGTGTGTCCGTCTGTGTGTTCGTCTGTCAGTCCGTCTGTGTGTACGTCTGTTAGTCCGTCTGTGTGTCCGTCTGTGTGTTCGTCTGTATGTCCGTCTGTTAGTCCGTCTGTGTGTCCGTCTGTGTGTCCGTCTGTGTGTTCATCTGTCAGTCCGTCTGTGTGTTCATCTGTGTGTACGTCTGTGTGTTCGTCTGTCAGTCCGTCTGTGTGTTCGTCTGTCAGTCCGTC